TTCCCAAAGTAATATTAACCCTCTAAGTGTTATGATATTTAAAGGACAAACTTGAAAATACCAAGAAAATTAAGGCATGTGACTGGGTCAACAACCTTTCTCAGAGAATATCAGGATTGACATTTATAAATGAAAATTGTTAATAGCCATGTCTTCATGGGGAGGGAAAACTACTTTATCGACAAGGACAGGTAGACTGATTAACAACTGAAATGTAATTCACGACAATACTTGCCCTATGATCTGCATGGGGGAGGGACCCACAGTGATGATGCTAGGGGTGAAATGATACATACGTATCCTGATACATAGGTCATGACATGTATCGCAATATTTACATCAAATTGTGTAGAAACTTGTTACCATAAATATTTCAGAGCAGGTTCGAAAGGAACATCTAGCTGTAGACTCATGTTCGTAGTGGCTATGCTTTGACTGACAAAAAAACTGAGGCCATTTAAATAGCAGTAAGTCATTTCTCTTAGCAAAAGTATCATGACATCATGAGCATCGATCCACGCAATTGGAATACGATGACATGCATCAACCAAGTCAGCGAGCCTGACCACCTGATCCCGATAGTCGTCTCTTACGACAAGCATAGTTGCCTTTTACAACAAGCATGGGTTGCTGGAGACCTATTCTACCCCGAATCTAGTGAGAAAGGGTTTAAGCAATATTCCAGGAAGAGCATAGACTTGGCACAAGGAATGGGTTCACACATTGTCCATTGGATTCTGGGTAAGAATTTAGGTCCCGAGGAACCTCAGGGTCAACTAAACAGATCAGGTGGTCAGCCTCAGTGAACCGATTGATGAATGTCAATCACATGATATCAATCACTGAATTATCTGGTCCAGATTAACAACAGACTGTTGTCATATTGATGCAGTATTGTTAAGTGAAGCATTAAACAACGAACAAGGTAAACACATTGTCCCCTCGGGTTTTCAGGGTGACCAGCTGAAGCTTCAGCCACAGCTCCCTGTCTATTCCATGTTCCATCACTTACAGACAGCAGCGACTGGATAGATGTGCACCACTAGATAGATGTGCACCACTCGATAGATGTGCGCCACTAGATAGATGTGCACCACTAGATAGATGTGCACGACTAGATAGATGTGCACCACTGCATTAAGGAGTCACACATTAACATCTGCCATTTTCTAGAAATAAGGAAACAGTGGTTATGGCAATTTGAAATGAATGATTTGAGATAATCTTCCAGAAAATGTCAGCCTCATCCAGAAATATTTCAACTTTTATCATTCAACAATTTGCTATTTAACCACATTATCATAACACTATTCCAACAGTGACATCAATGCCACAGCTACAATGGACTACAACAGCCATTACCATCCAACATAACTGTCCCACAAATGTTCATACACTTAACGACAGATCGCGCGCTGTAAAAACATGCAGCCTCTCTGGAAGCGTACTATCGACCACATCGTTCAAACTGTTACATATTTTCATATCGTCAGCCTTAATAAAATGCAAATCTATTGACAGCAAGCCACGACACAATGCTGAATGACAAGTAGGCTCACACAATAATCAAATTTCCACGAACTCTTTGTCTACAGCGCCCTCTGGTGTAGGTTTCTCAACAACGATAATGTCTGCCTTGTGCAGGTGTTAGCATGTATAAGCTTACAATAAATTGTTCAAAATGTTTTTTTTACGAATATAATTATTGCTGTTTTATGATTGATTTCTATGAGTGTCTTCAAGGTAATGTGCAGTAAATATTGTCTATTCTGTGGTGTGTAATATCATCTGGGTGTGGGTGTGTTCAAGGGTCAAGTCAGGGATTGACTTTTTGTCCTGGTCTGTTAACACCCCATATGTTGTACTGTAATACCGTATTCAACGTAATAAGCGCCCCGCTCTAATAAGCGCCCACGGCGACATTTGCTAAAATATTGGCTAGTGAACAATCCCAATTAGCACCCCTTCCAATTGATCAATGTACACAAGACTTATTTATTCGCGTATAATACGCACTCGTGTGTTATATGCACCCTTAATTATGGGCATTTAATTCTGGAAAAATATATCTGTCGTACATAAACATTTCAGGCTGTCAGCATAAACCACCATGTCTGTTCAACTCTGTTTTTTCCACCAAAATAACATTCTAATAAGAGTCCCCTATTTCTAATTTTGAGAGCGCCCTGGGCACTTATTACAGTAGTTTCCATGTTTCAAAAGAGTCTACATTCATAAATGAGCGAGTTTTTTGTGTTTCACGTTGCCTTAAACCGTATTTCAGTAACATGACGTCATGTATACTTCACATGGTAGAACAGTCTTAGAAAGGTCTTAGATTTTTACAACTTTGTCAAAAAACCAAGGATCATAATCAAGGCAAATCAGGAATTTAAACCCAAATTGAGAGGATCCTGACACATGCAGGGGATGCAACTCCGCACAACATCATACTGCAGTTATTTGCACAAGGGGAATACCTTTAACTAGACTAGGTACTGGTATCCAATAAGTATGGTTTAAGTGATGAGGATCCGATGGTCACAATGGAGTCTGAATATGTGAGGGAGGAGTTTTTAAATCAGCATTATTTAAGTTATATAGTGACGGATTGAATATGTTTACTGAAAGGATGGATGACCCCAAACAGAGACTAGTCTACACGTTTCCAGTTGTGAAGAGTAACACACTTATCCCACATACTGGCAAAAACATCAGAATAGAAACTGTTTTCATGACAACCACTTCTGAATACCAAAATATAAATGGTTGCTATAAACACAAAACACATCCTGAAAAAATCCTTCTGAAAGAAAAACCCCAACATTTTTCGAACTTTTTTAATTATTGAAAAATCAACAAACACCAAAAAGGGAGTGATAATTTTAGGGATGGAGATCTTTTTCTGCTTTGTATTCCTTCTTACAGAAAATGGAGAAGCTTGTCAATAAGCTATTTAAGAAGTGACATTCCACATGACATTAGTAGCCTAGTGGTTAAAGCCTTCGCTCGTCACGCCGAAGACCCGGGTTTCGAATCCCGACATGGGTACAATGTGTGAAGCCCATTTCTGGTGTCCCCCGCTGTGATATTGCTGGAATATTGCTAAAAGCAGCGTAAACCAAACTCACTCACTCACTCACCACATGACATTAAGACATATATTTCAAAGTCTAGATGAAATAATTTCCATTTTAGTGTGGAACTTGGAAGACACAGTTTCGCTCTGCTGAACGATTCCACGATTTCTGTTTAGGAATACCAGGTGATGTTAATATGTGACCGATATGCCACTATAAGAAGAAAGTACCTCTGGCCATATTACACTGAAAATCGATCCCTAATACAATTCACACAGCTAATGCAAAGAGGTGATGGTCCTGTCCTTCATAATGTGGGGGGGGCGGTCTGGTAGCCTAGTGGTTAAAGCGTTCGCTCGTCACGCCGAAGACCCGGGTTCGATTCCCGACATGGGTACAATGTGTGAAGCCCATTTCTGGTGTCCCCCGCCGTGATATTGCTGGAATATTGCTAAAACGGCATAAAACCATACTCACTCACTCACTCATAATGTGGGTGCGTTCTCAGCACAAACATACAAATTAAGAAACACCTACTGTATTCGACATAATAAGCGCTCAGGGCGCTTTCAAAATTAGATTGAGGGGGCTCTTATTAGAATATTATTTGGGTGAAAGACAACAGAGTTGAAAGATCGTAAATTTCATGGTTTATGCTGTCAGCCTGATATGTTTATAAACGACATATATTTTTCCAGAATTTAATTTCCCATAATTAAGGGTGCATATAACAAACGTATTATCCAAGAATAAATAAGTCTTGTGTACATTGATCAATCGGAAGGGGTGCCAATTAGGATTGTTCACTAGCCAGTGTATTAGCAAATATCGCCGTGGGCGCTTATTAGAGTGGGGTGCTTAATACGTCGAATACGGTAATACCTTTTATCATTAAAGAAATTGTTACATATACATGTACCTTACCACAGCATGCGTGATTTATCATGTTATATAAATATATCATGGACCAGTAGAATGTTATTGAAATAAATTGTCTGCCTGTCTGTCTGTCTGTCTGTCTGTCTGTGTCTGTAGAGTGATGTGTCTCTGTGTCAGCTATATGATGGCAGTCTGTAAATAATCGAGTCTTGACTAGACGATCCAGTGATTGACATCTTGAACATCGATATACGCAATTTGGATATGATGACATGCATCAACCAAGTCAGCGAGCCTGACACCTGATCCCGTTGTTCGCCTCTCATGACAAGCATAGTCGCCTTTTACAGCAAGCATGGGTTGCTGAAGACCTATTCTACCCCGGATCTTCACAGGGACTATAGAGTGATGATTGTCACTGACAGTCATTATATCATTCATATACATGAACTACCCAAGGGATCTCGTCATCACATCAAACTACTAAGGACGATTGGCATCCTTGGGAAAAAATAGACAAGCATTTGCGAAGAAGAGCTGTCTAGAATACTCAGGAGAGATCTATTTTATTTAATGTTTTATTGATCCCCTCCACCCAAATGTCAAAAGACAACAAAAATTGGGTAGGAATAAACATCCTTTAAATTGAAACAGTATTTGGAATATTTGTTTTAAAAATCAAGAATGGGGGGAATTAAAGAAGACAGGCAAAACACTCCTGTTCTTCTTACAGGAAACAAATCTCAACGCTCCCCAACAAATGTCTGGCCTAGCATATTGTTATTTGAATAACAATTATTTTATACAGCATCTTACACACTTAATCTTTAATACAAAACAAACAAAAATCAAAGAGTTATCTTATTCTATAACAGTCTTAAAAAAACAACAAAGAACAACAAATAAGGATCTACAATTATTCCAATCACAGAACAGACAAATATCCGACTGTACAGGTAAGAGATGATTATTGCTACAGATTGACTTGGAAACAGAGTTTCCCCAGATGGTATTTGTTTAAAGAAACGCAAGACAGTTTACCTGTATTTCGAGCTTTGACTTCGCCGGGATTCCAAAATTCGGTCAAAGCTAAAGCTTCGGCGCCGGCCTCTATACTCCATGGTTGTTGAAGAATGGAACTCCAGGCTCTCACAACAAACAACAACTACTCACAATGGCCAACTGACAATACAAGTGGACAGTGGTCAGTGAGCAACACTGTAAATATTCAATATTTGTTGCCCACACAACCAACTAAATGTTCGCATATATCAGCAATGGAGTCTACAATAACAATGGAATGATGTTGTTAATTGTAGTTGTTTGTTGGCTCCAAAATGTACGACAATACGTGTTACTGGTTAAACGTTGACTGATGGGATAATTGTCAACAAAATTCTCCATAATTCTCCATAATCATCCGTTCTGCGTCCATCCTTGTTCCTGGTACAAGATTACATACTCAAGTACAAACGACTGAGACTTTTGAATGACAAAAAACTATAGTCCTCCGAACTGTATATTAATACCAGCATCCTCTTCACACACAAAACCATCATGGTTGAAATACGACCTCAGAAAACGGTGCTGCCCTGAAATAGCCTGTGATTTGAGTCTAATTTCATTGACGATGCAACTTTCAAATGTCACCTACAGAATCGCAGCAATTTGCCCGTACAACGTTGTCATAAAAGAAACACTCATCACGTATATGTCCCTCACATGTCAATCCACTCATTTTCAACCACTGCTAAAACATCTGCAAAATGTCATTCCCTTTTAGAACCGCTTGATTGTTCATAATGAAAAATATTCAACGAGCACAATCCTGTGACCCTGTTCTCCTTGCTAATATGGGACACTTATATGTTCCGACAAGTTGAAAACTCCGCCTTCAAAATTAAGAGGTTAAAAGGTCAAGGTCACATGATTTTCAATGATTGCAGGAAAGCCTTTGAATGAACTGTGATTGCGTATATATCCTTGCTCAAAAAGCAAGAATTCCTTTACTCCAACCAGTAGAGAAAAAACGTCACACTGCGTCAAACGAAACCTTACAAAGACAACAATAGCCTGTTTTTCGCTTACTTGTGCAGAATCGAAGGTTGCCTACTTTTCACGTCTGATACAGCTGAAGAAAAGCTGTCCCTTAAGCCTTCAATTTACCTCCAAACGAACCAATTTACAATCACCAAAACTTGTTAATGATACACCACCTCCATCCAAATCTGGCCACAGATTATCTGAAGGAAACTTTACGTTGACAACCTCGGTACAAAAATATTATTCATTTCCAAGGTCGTGGATTCCGACCATACAGCTGTAGAGTAAATTGCAGGGATTTCTTCTTAATGATGTTTGTCCGATGTTTGTCACAGAACGAATTAACACCGGGAACCGAATGCACTGATGAAGGAAAGCCAGATAAAATGTCACCGTAATAAATCACGAAAACTGCCCATTTACTCCCGAACAGTCTGCCCTGGATCTAAGACTTTTGTATCAACCCTCCCACACCATTACCGGAACATACATAGAAACTCATGGTACAGCAACATTAATGTACTTTTCAGACAAAAGAGTTCACATAACCATACGATGACATTCAAGACGCAACAACATACAAAATCTACTTTAACCCTGAGACAAAAAGGATGTATTTTATGTCTGTGACTGCAGCAAGATGCAAATATGTTTCCATAGTACATGGCCGACTGGGATATTTTAACTTATCGATTCCAACAGTTCAAGTTCTCCAATCAATATGTAAAGAAAGCTATTACAGCCACGTTTCAATTTCCAGTCCTGTCTCCTAGTGACACTTGCATCAAGCAGGACAAAAAAACAACAGCAGGATTACCGCAGGATTACCGCAGGATTCTAGAAATCCCAAATCTGTTTTTCATGATCCTGAAATCCAAACTGCCAACATATCCACATGAAAATCATCATTTCTTGCAGGAAGTGAAACAGATTTTCCTCATACAATCCTTCAATAAATACAAAATCACACTTTAAAACCATGGAGTATTCTGTAGTCCATTTATCTCTGAATTTGTGACGCCATGTCAATAAGCCAGTCTGCAGATAATAACAGAAAGCTCGATATTGTGTTGAGAATCGACGCAGGTGATCGGCAATCAGTTTAGATTACAAGATTCCGTAACACGGATAACTTGTGACATACGCATTTCTTGTGCCTGTCAACGATGTTAATGGCCACGTCAATTAACGTGTGACAACAACATGGCCTCTCCGCATGCATTGCCCACACAGGAATTGGTATCATCAATTTCAATTCCATACTAAAATCTGTAACTTAATAGCATGCAGAGACACTAAGGATTTTGTGCAGAATTCAGCTTTAAGAGGAAAAAAATCGGACAGTTGTGTCGGGTAACATTTTCCTCAGAATCTAACAGGTGCCCCCCTAATATAAAGCATATTTTGTTGATAAGGGTTTTTCTTAAATTGTGCATCAAATTAAAAACCTTATTTTAATCTGAATTAGATTCTGAAATGAAAACTTCTTTTTGTTTGTGATTCTAAAATGGAATGCTTGAAGATTTGTCTCCCGATTGTTGTGTTATAATGAGGTATGTTATTTGACCAGGTGCAATGATTGAAAGGTTGTTGATCACAAGACTTCCTTATCAAAAATCTAATAGCCATTTCACTTATAGGCACAGCTTCTGTTTAGAACAAAGCTGACAGGGGATAAGATGGGTGCCAAGATTAATTAGAAAAGAATTAATACCCTGTCAATCAGATGAATGATTACATTAATCAATTACATATTAGATTACTTTCTTAAATATGATAATCTGCCATCATTTTTAGACACATATAAAAAATGCAAGTCGACTCAAATATTATTAAATGAATATATGTATAAACGTTTACTTGGAAAAGTGCAAAAGGTCAAACTAAACTACTAAACATGACCTTAGAGGTCTAAAGGTCAAATTAAGCTGCTAAACATGACCTCAGATGTCTAAATATTGTCCACCTTTAATTATTCTGTTATCAACACAGACACATCTTCATTGCTTACCATTAAAGGTAATATTGTAAACATTATGCGTGAAATACAAATATTTACATTCTCGGCACATGTTTACGATAAAAAACAATGATACATTTATTTTTATTTTAAATTTTAAAATAATCTTAATGCCATATCTATATCTATATATAACAATTTTATACATGCACAATGGTATTTTTGAAACTACATTACATAAAAATTGAAAGATGACGGTTTTATTTCAAATACTGAAAATCAAAAACTTGTCATTCTTCAAATAAATGCAGGTATATTCACAGTAAACCGATACATGATTTGTGATTTTATCATCTGTAAACCCCCAAGTATGGGAGATCCTAATCTGGGCCCACTTGCACAAAACGATCTTAGCGCTTAGACTTTCATAAGCCTATGTTAAAGTATGGGAGTTAAGATCATCTTAGCGCTAAGATCGCTTTGTGCAAGTGGGCCCAGGACTGCTGCCATTGACATGGGCTAGTTGAAGATGACAAGATGTCTGACAGATAAACATCAAAGTTGTTCCAGCGTAGAACATAGCGTGTCAAAAAAAGGTAGCGGCCATAAAATATCCCCGATGAGATTCGAACCATGAACCGTCTGATCTGACGTCGGACACCAGGTCCACATGACCAAAGAGGTTACCAATCGCAAGCTGACAAGGTAAGGGTGTCATCCGTGGGATGACTCCACACCCTGTTGTATAAACGACAACTGGTTTTACCTGTAAACTCTCATATCAGATAAAATCGATCCTATTCCAGTAAATGATCTAAAAGCCTTACTTCTATCAATCCCCTGAAGATCCAGGGTAGAATAGGTCTTCAGCAACCAATGCTGGTCGTAAAAGGCGACTAACGGGATCGGGTGGTCAGACTCGCTGACTTGGTTGATGCAAGTCTACATATCCCAATTGTGTGGATCGATGCTCATGATATCAATCACTGGATTGTCTGGTCCAGACTCGATTATTTACAGACTGCCGTCATATAGCTGGTATACTGCTGAGTGCGGCGTTAAACAACAAACAAACAAAAAACAACTTCTATCAATCAAAACTGGCATATTGTTGTACATTGCTCTATTTACGTGATGTTCAAGATTATTTCACTCACATCGCGACCTTCATGCACATGCGTGTGGCTGCTTGTACTAGCCCAGACTTAAGTCGGTTTTATAGTGCCAGCCAATAGAGATACCATGCCACATCTTAACATGAATACCCCACACAGACACAGTATACTGACTCCGAGCTGACATTCCCTTGTTGTAACCCCTCCATGCTGACCGACAGGCAGGATAACAAGTATACCATCTTTTAACATCTTTGGGTATGATGCGGCCAGGGATCGAACCCCGGACATGCTCTCCGGGCAGACGTTTTGGGCATCTATGACGCAATATATCAATATTACAATCCATACACACACCACTAATCTACGACATAACAGTCCATCTTTCAATAACAGACAAGTTGTAAGCCATGGCAATTGATAGAATTTGGATTGCTTTTTTGCATGCAATAAAAACTAACATGACAGCAAAATGATTTGATGATAAAAAACCATCCCTTTTCATGAAGAAAAGTGTAGAGTTCTATTTTGAGATACCACAGACCTTGAAAGTGGAAATCTTATGGGACATTGAATAAAAGATCAGGAAAGTGCGTCATTTGGCCACTAATGATGTCAATTTTGACAATTAATTTCCAATTTTAGATGTCAATTTCTTTTTAATTTCAGTGTTAAATGGCGACACTTGATGACAGTGATTTGGCTTGCTACTGCAAAATAGACAATTTGATGACAGATACTCAGGTGAAATCCAATGAAAGAAGCTTTAATTTGAACTCTTTAGCTAGAGCCCTTGAGCAAAGAGCTTTTAATGATTTATTTAAATACAAAGAATATTGGAAAAGCAGTGTGAATTATTTCACAAAATAATTGAAATGCCACAGAAATCAAAATCAAAATGCTCCAAATTTCACTTGACTTGACATTTCGAAAAGTTCACTCTTAAGTCGGACTTCCATTAAGGATTATTTTCTCGTGTGAATTTTTCCTCAAACTCGGAACAAAAGAAAAGTCTTGCACACAAAATGTGTAACAAACAGATCACCTCACAAAACCCCATTTTTTTAAATAAAAATTTGATTTGCAATTTTTTCAATTTAATATTCTCTGACAAATAACAAATAAAACTTACTCTGACGATGTAGACGGCTGCCATTTTCTGGTGTAACTTCGACACATTGATATCATGTCACTGTGAGTAGTTATCCTGTGTTCCTAAACGTGTGACGACTTTCTACAAGCGTTATCAACTTCTGTTGCCAAAAACATTAATGACTGATTGATTGATCACTCTATCAACTGGTAATCGCAGCCTATCAAACTCTACACATAGTCAAAATATAAGCCTGGCGTTGTCAGACACTCATCAACTATGCCAAACACTACACATAGGTCAAGTAAAATACTTTAACCTTTTAACCTTTAAGGTGACAAATCACTTTTTCCGATTCCCAAATTCACAGGTCTGTATAAGATATTCAAATCGGAATAAAATGAATACCCACACTTAGTACTTGGTGTAAAATCAGAAATAATATCTCTATACAAGTCTCTGAACAACCACAACAAAAACAACAAAAATATTTGATGTGAAAATTAATATAGCCTTAAAACTTTGAACATCTTTTCTTTAAACAAATATCATGAGCACATGTGAGCAAATACTTTTTGAAATACTTTGGGAAAATACTGAAAAATGTTCTGCTTGATTGTGTTGATAGGATCTAAATGGTTAATGTAGCCAACGGTCACATCGGTTATAGAAATAAGCTTCCCATTTCACTCCCAGCCTTGGTCCAAATGTAATAACCCCAAGCCATTTGCAGATATTTCTAGGTAATCCTTGAAAGCATTTTGTCACAATAACCAGCTGATTAATCCATTTAGCAGAATACCAAGTAAATAGCTCTCTGTTCAAAGGCACAGGAAAAATAGTGAAGGTCTTTAAGTAATTGTTATACAACGGATAATAGCTTAAACCTCCCTTCCATTGAGAGTACTTATTAGATCACTGGGCTGAAACCCTCGCTTTTGAGGTGTATAAACAGACCCAGACAAGGATTGTCAAACATTTTGGAGCTTTTAAAAGATTTAAACACATGTAATAAAGTGATTGTTGTGTTGCTGTTTAACACAGCACTATGCAAGCAATATTCCAGCTATCTCACAGCTGCTATCAACAATCAAGTGAGGGCCAAGTGAACCAGTGGTTGATTGCATGAGCAACATCCCCAACTGTTTGGGTATGATGACATGCAATAAGCCAAGTCACCAAGCCTGACCATCTGAATGATGCTGATGATGATGCTGCTGCTGAAAAATATTAGATTATAGTGCTCCACAAACTGCACATTGTAGACAGTCTCTGCAGTACATTCTGATATCCCTTCATAGTTTCCTTGCAACATCATCAATACCTTCATCACCATCATCATCATCATCATCACCATCACCACCTATGCCATCATCATCACCTATGCCATCATCATCATCAGCATCATCACCACTATCATCACCTTCGTCGTCATCGTCCACATCATCATCACTATAGTCACCTTTGCCATCATCATCACCACCACCACTATCATCACCTATGCCATCATCATCATCATCATCATCATCATCACCTATGCCATTGTCATCATCATCACCTTTGTCGTCGTCATCATCATCATCATCATTATCATCATGAGTAGGACGAGTGTGTTTCGAGTTTGTTAGGAGTTGGCTGGCGACCCAAGTGTTTTGAGCAGTTTCAAAACTCTTGTAGATCAGTACGAGGTATCCCAAGTTACCCCGAGTTTAATACGACCTCGCTACGAGCTCCATACGGGTACCCCCGAGTCAGCTCGGGTTCATACTCGGGACGCAGCTCGGCAAAGTATGAGAGCCCCTACAGCCTCATGTCTGAACAAGTGATGACTATGGCCCTATAATGTTAGCAATGTTCCTTGGAGATAGCACGAC